CCAATCAACATACTACATGGTCAATTATATCAATAGCATATAACCACCATCAATAGCTTTAATGTCAATATATCACATGCATACACCAACATTTTTCAACATCAATTTTCAAGCATGTTACAACATTGTTAATATAATTAACACACTTAATCCATATAAACATTTAATCAAACACCTTAAAGGAATCAAATTTTGTAATCACATAAAATACCCAATTTTATCACATAACTCAAAAAATCATCTCAAGTAATTTCTGCATACACAATTTCAGCTAGAATTAATTTTACCCATTTTATATCAATTTTTCACATTTCAACAACAATAGGCAAGTGCTAAATATAAGATTACATCTCTAACACCATACCCATTTCATATTTCAAACCTAAGTAGTAAATAAACCTAATTAGGATAAAAATCTTACCTCTTGAAGTGTAAAACAACGGTAAGAAGCTTCAAGAATCTCAAATTACGCCTAAACCTTTGATTTCTCCAAGCCTCGTTTTTTGGAACTTCACCCAAACTCATGATTTTTGGTATGGTTTGTGTAGCCCTTGATGAGAAGAACAACTTTTGTTTTTGGCTTGATTCGATTCGAGCGACGTAGAGACATAGATCGTAGAGAAAATGTGTGAAATCCTTGTTCTCTCTCTCTCTCTTCTTCCTCTCTCTTTTCTAATAGGTAAAAGGCTGAGAATTGGGGAAGAAAATCTGATTTTCTTCCCTTTTTATACTCTCCAATTACTTGGTCCTCATTTCGCCACACGTTCTCTTTTCTCAGATCCGATTTTGACCCAAATTGATTAAATTTCGTATCGGTTTAAATTCAAAATTTTTTTAAATAAAATTTTTTTAAATTATTTTCTAACTTTAGAAAATTTATTTCATACCTCGTTTTTTTGTCACACAACACTTGATCGTCGCGTAAAATGTAAAAAATTCGATTGTCTTAGAATTCGACGAAAATTGACAAGGTAACTAGATTTCACGAGACGAATCCAACGATGAGGTCCATATCTTCATCCGAGCTCTAGAAAAATTTGAGTTTTCAACCCGTATCAAAGTGACAAATTATCGTTTTGTCATTTTTCATAAAATTTTAAATTTACCCGGATTTTATAATTACCCCCATGACCATCACTACTACCACCACAGTTGCTGCCACCCCCCACCACCGCTGCAACACCCACCACCACCCTTACAACCAACACCACTATCGATTAATATCACCGTTGTCCATCGCCACCACCCATTATCATTGTTATTTTATTTTCATATTTGTTATCACTGCCACCATCATCTCACTATCACCATCGAACACCATTAGCACCCACCAGCGCCATTGTTTCCCATCGCTACCCACAACCACAACCAACCACCACCGGTCGTTGCCCACCATTGCCGCCAGTCACTATCACCCCCCTATAATACCTACCACCACTATCAGGCGACACCACCCATCACATTATCGTCCAGATGTACCATTCGTCGCCCACCACCACTGTTGTCATCTCCACCACTACCATTGTCAACCATCATCACCATCACCCACCACCACCACTGCCAACCACCATAACTGCCATCACCTATGGCTTTCACTTCTACTATCATTATCCAAAATCCATCGCCACTATCACCGTTGCCACCCACAACTGTCGCCATCACCACGGGCGTTGCCACCCACCACAACTATCACCGTCTCCTATTACCACCACTACCCTTGCTTACCCCCATTATAAACGGTGCTTAAATTCTTTTTTTTCTTATCTATGTTTATTAATTGATTTTGACTGTGAATATAAATTTGTTTATTGTTAATCATTATTTATTATTTTGTGCCTTCAAATATGTGCAATAACTAGTATTAGAATAAATCTCGATCAGACTTGCTCAATTCTTCCTTAAAAGGTCAAAGAAAGTGAGAGCAAATTTTTAATGCTTCTTATTTACCTAAAAAAATAAAAATTTATTATGCTTCTTGCAAGTATTGAAAATTCTCATGCTCCCTTGACTATTTTCCTTGATGCGAGTGAGATAAATCGTAGAGTCTATGTTCAGTGTAAATGATCTTGACTCCAAGCGGTCAAGAGAGCTGGTTATGAAATCTACAACTTGGTAAAATTTTGGCAGGGAAACCAAAGAAAAAACATTTGCTAAAAAAAAAGCGATAACTCGTGCCATGGCAGAAGTAGAAATTTATGTTAAAGAAACAAATTTTAATGATAATATGATAAAAAAGACTTAATAATAGATGATGGAAATATGAATCCATAAATTAAATAAATAACAGGGTGAGGTGTGGACATTTTAGAAACTCTTATGCCCTGCACTTTTCTCATCTTAGTGCATGTGAGAGTTTCGGTGTCTCTTAATTTAATGATTAGGTAACACTAATATAATATATAAATTTAAGTTTTTTAAATAATTAATTGATGTGAGATTGAATTTTTTCCATAAAGTGATAAGAATGCTCTTTTTTTTTTTTTTATTAAAATACTCTAACAAGAGATATAATAAAAATCTCAACATTGAACTATATAGGGGAAGAGTTTCAATATTAACATTATTAAAGATGCTTTTGTCAATGTTTTCAAAGTAACATTATGTGGAAGAGCTTTAAGGATAATTTAAGTGGTAATAAAGATAAGTTGTAAATTTAGATGTCTGAAGTTTGAATCTTAGTAGCACTTTGAGGTCAAATCATTTGAGATTTATTTCTCATAAATACTCTAATCTCCGTGTAGATGACATATCTTTAACCAAATTAAAAAAAAAATTAGTCAATGTGAACATAAGATGATCCGAATATCCTGGCAGTTGAAAAAAGAACTAGAGAGATGTGTAGAAGAGATAATAAGGAATTTTTGATTTTTTTTTTAACATGTTGGATTAAAGTATAAAGGTGCATTAGAATTGATTTTAAGTAGGGTCAATTCACCATTTCTCAAAAAAATAAAAAGGTAGAGCCAATTTATGTCCTGTCATCCGCATATCAATATTTTTGGGTCATATCATTCTAATTCATATTTTATTTATGTCAATATTTATAAAAATTAATTTATTTAATGTATTATAAGTATTAAACATTAATCTAATTTTTTATTATGCATATTTGTCAATCATGTCAATTTTAGAACTGCATCTTATCTTTTGAACAGATTAACACCTCTAAATTTAAAATATATTAAAACACTCCTTTAAGTTTTTTTTTGTTAAAAAATAAAAAATTGTAAAAAACCACTGCGTGGGCTCTCCGTCAACCTACGCCGTTAAAGAAAACGTCAAAACTAACCCAGCACGGCCGCACCAAAAGTGACAGACAAGCCAACGACGTGGACCCAACGTTTTCAAAGCATCAAACAGACCACCTGAGTCAAAATCAGTCAACAACATATAGATATAGCTCTCTCTCTGTCTCTCTCTCTCTCTCTCTCTCTCTAACCAGTACGGAAATAAACAAATATTCTTTACAGATAAACATTTCGAATTCAGAGCCATAATTACACAGACTCCCCCCCAAGTTCTGAAAATTTGAAGGACAACTTTTTGTCAGAAAGTATTTTAAACAAGGGCACTTTCATTTCACAATTACATTTGCAAGGATTTCTTTCTCCTATTCAAACATACACATCTTTTTTCACTCATTGTGTTAATAAAAATTTGAAATAAATTATCCACAAATGATTAAATTGGTTTTTTGCTCCGAAATAATTTTAATAGCGCACAAACAAATTTGTATTAGAACATTTCGTTGTTTAAATTTAACCTGTGTCAAATGAAAGAACGAATAAGATGATACTAAATGTGTATTGACTTTAAGAACTATAGATATAATTCAACGACAACAATTGAATTATCTCTTATTCATTTTTTAACTTCAAAAATAGAGAAAAACTTACGTATTCATTTTAGAAGTGAATAGGCCAAAAACCCACAAAAAATAAAAGATTCAAAAAAAAAAAAAAGAAATCCAAGAAGAATGTAAAAACCAAAATAGTCATTGTATCTACTAATTCGAAAAGAAAATTTCTTATAAAGGATGAAGAGTTTCAAATGTCTTAGTGAAAAAAGGTCGTGATTGAGTCCTTATAAAGAAATGTTAGAATAGTTTGTGGTAAAGGAAAAAATTAAAAACAAAGCCTTCTAGAGAAACTCTGCTTTTAGATGTAGAATGCCTTTGAAAACTTGATTACTTACACGAAGATGGTAAAACAATTGAATAGTTTAGTTCTATTTTGATAATGAAGAAAATTTTTAATCACACATCCTTTGAATTCATACTTACAACATAAAATGACAATTTACATACTTAGTCGTAAATCACATATATTAGACGAATCAATATTTTCCTGTCAAAGCCAAATTTAAAGTATGGACATGGTAACCATGAAAGCTTTTCATCCAAACCACTCGACAAGCTACTAAGTAGTGTAATTGATAAAAGAATAGTATTATTTAGACTTAAAAATTTGATATAATTTATTGACTTAATGATATAATTTTATTGTAATAATAGAATTAATATCAAATTTTAATATTTAATGGGGGTTACAATCAATCTAATCTATATAATAAATCAGATATTTGTTTGAATTTATGGAGGTATATTATTTTCTCAAATTTCACACACCCAACACACTTTCCTCTCCAAAGTTCTAAAATCCAATACACACACTGCATAACACACAGCTACACATACATATATATACTCTAACACATATTCTAATACATGTATAATATAAAAATTCAGTGTATAATAATTTTAGTCACGAGACATCACTAATAATTATAATAAATTAGATTAACATGTTAGGTCAGTAAATTAGACCCAACACAATCACGTAGAATTCTATCATCAGAAACCACTTGTGTATACTATATACTTAAAAATCGGGGGTTATAGTGTAATTAGTCGTATTTTATTTATAGAATATTTACGGAAAAACCGTTCTAAAACCTTTACCTTCTCTCTCTTCTTCTCACACCCTCCTTGCCAGCAAAACCCCCGCCATCGCACTCACACACGCGCGCTCCTTCCCTGTTCGAATCGACCATGGATGAGAATCAGCGGAGCTTCGAAGCTCTCGAAGTGGAAAATCCAAAGCCAATCGAGGAACAGCACGAAGACGAAAACGATGATGAAGAATACGATGAAGATGGTGATGAACAGAGGCAAGCGAGTGAGTTGGAAAGTTCAATTGGAGCAAAGGTAAGAGATTCTCAATCGGAAACCCTAGCCGTAGCTTCGTCAGTTCAGTTGCCGGAGAGTGATCTCCAAGCCGAATTTGGTGCTACTTCTCACCTACTCTCAGGTACGACTGATTCTATCGCAGCTATGCAACTTCCTTTTTTGTGTGTGTGTGTTTTTCTGAGTGCGTGAGTGTGTGTTATAGATACACGCGTCTATATATTGGTAGATTTTATACTTCCACTTACTCCTTTGACCTTCTATCTGGTAACTATCAGTTCTCATGTACTAGAATTCGTCTAAGTCATCGGTGTATGAGGACATGGATATGTGTGTGTCTGTGTGGGCGCGTGTGGGCGTGGTATAAATTTATTAATTTGAAGAATTTGACTTGACAGAGGTGCCAGTAGAATACACTCTGCAACCGCTTGACTCTACTAAATTCAAGGTTAGGATCTAATTCACTCTTCTCTCAATTTGAGTTGTACGCAAAGTTACTGTCTTTGAATGGGACATCAGAGTTCTTGCATGAGCGAGTCTAGTTATTGTATGTGTGTTGTATGTTTATTTACGTGGTTTTGTAATTTAATGGAATCCATTTTTTGTGATATTAGCTGCATGGTTTAATTGGGCATACATTCATTCCTTTTCTCCATTCAGACAGTTCATGAGAGTGTTTTCTTTTCTTTGCTAGTTATTTTATTTTTGGGTTTTAGGGAGCTTCTGAAGTGCTTATGATCATATTTTAATATTGTTTAGGGAAACTTGTTTCTCATGTATATCTGTTTGTTAATTGTCATTTGGGTTCGCAGAAATTCACAATGCATCTGTCACTTTGGAATTTGAACCCTAGACTTGGAGGAGAGTTAGTTCAGAGTTGGAGGAAATTCTCAATTTTTAATTCCAGAGCATAAATTCCATGATGTCATACAATGCTTTGATGGATGCTTAATTTCACAAAAATGAAGCTTTCATTATAAAGTTACATTCTTGACTGTGGTCTTATAATTTGTTAATGAGGACAACTACGGTACCGAAAGATACAACATTTTAAGATGAAGTTATAAAATTTTGAAGGTCTAAGTTATAGCTCGAATATTCATGATCAATTATAAATTTTGTCATCCATCATGAACAATAGACCTTTTAAAGTTACAAATTACACATTTCGAAGGTAATGTTACAACTAAATGAATGTTGTTATTGATCATGAATAGTTGTTACTTGTTCAAAAGGTGTAAGTTGATGTTTGACGCTGGTATTTCTGTTCAGTACTGTAGCTTTTTCCTTTTTTAATTGGTATTATGGGTGATACATACAGAATAGTGTTGTTGTTTTGAGGAAACTTGAATCAATTAAAGCGTCAATTTGGGGATTTTTAGCCCAAAAAATTCCGATAAATCAATAAACAAACATGATCATTCCTAAGTTACAGGTTCCTGGTAATGGAATGCTTAGTGTAGCAGCTGTATGCATCTTTACAATTGGCTCTTGCCATTGCTTTAGGAAATAAGGATGAAGTTGACTAGGAAGGGGTTGCAGTGCAGGTGATGTCAGTAGCTTTCTAGAAGAACTAGTAACACTGTATTAACGAATCTGATAATATTTCTTAAACCAATTGAGATCTGCAAAATAACTCTAGACTTGAGATCTGCAAAATACTTCTAGTTATGGAAAAAGGTCAGTAAAATAGAGATCTCTTGTTAATTAAGTGATGAAGGAAAGCAAGTGGGCTGCAGGAAAAGAAACCTTAATTAGGTGGATATTTGGCAGCGAGAAATTTTCGCAGATTAGATAGATTATCAATTATGTAAAGCTTATAATAGAGTCTTACTCTCCAGGCCTAAAAAGATAGAAAAAAAAAAAGTAAAGAGAGAGTTGATTTTGGCTTTACGAGTATCTCCAATGAGCTGGGCTATATTTGCAATACCAATTTTATATTTAGCACTGCTGCAGTGCCCAAAAGCTATATTTAAGGAATATTTTTAATTATCCGCTCCAGTATGGCGCATCTGTTAAGTGTTAACAGATGCCATATTGGTAGAGTATTTGCAAAATTTGGCAAGCTGGATAACACACCATTGGAGACAAGGGTTTTGGAATTTGTGTCAAAATGGCTTTGGCATGCTCAATATCTGACCATTGGAGATGCTTAACTCAATGAAAAAGAAACAGCCTAAATTTTGCTACAGTGGTGCTTTACTCTCTGCTTAGGATTCAGATACTAATATTTGATTTGGACAAGAAGCTAGGATTATCTTGTTTATATCAAGCAGCCTTTTTTTTTTTTCTTTTTGAAGAATAGAAGCAGTTCCTTTTGGGATCGTTGATCATACTCTCTTTTTATTGTTCTTTGTGACATAAAATAATGTGAAGAAGCATAGAATTTACAGCATTTCTATTATGCATGTATCCTATGAAATTTGTGTGGTTTTATTCACCTGAACTGCCTTGTTTATCAGAAACAAAAAGGAAAAAAAACCCTTGACCTCCCTTCTGCAGTTCTTGCACATGAAGTGGATCTGGATAATTCAGCAACATATTAATCCAGCTGTATGCCACATGACATTTTTCATCAGTTTAGGCTCTGGTTATTGCCCAACAAAGAATGAGCCACCTGCCTCCTTTTAACATTGCTTTATTTTTTTGCTTCTTTATAATGGTAAGATGGCATGAATACCATGCTAACTGAACTACTGTGCTTTTCAAAATTTTTATTGGCTTATAAAAAAAACTCCTGAAAGAATTTCATTTGGGAATGGTCACCAAGTGACCCATTATCTCATTCTAATCTAAATCCGGTTTGACGTTTCCTTAGAGATTGTTTTTGGAGGTTCAAGTATGATGATGCTGCAGGCCAATTGACGGAATGTGGCGCAGCTTGGCAGTGCTTTGTTTTGGATACAAAAATGTCACGTGTCCAAAACCCATCATCCCTTCCTATTACTTCTCCTTTTAGGAGTAATAGGGATCAATTAAGCTTGATTCAAATTGGCCATAAATAGTATATTCGTACAAGATGCATTGAGTTGATTGTTACTTTCTAACTCCAAATAACAGCAAGGTATCTTTGGGCCCACCCCAATAGCACACATGCATGTTTGTATATTTGTGTACACCTATGGTAGTCACATTTATTCTTTTAGAAATTTGTATTTTGGAGTTGAAACTAATAATTTTGAATTAATGCTCTAACATTCCGTCATTGTGAAATCATGCTCTAACAATTAGTGTTTTTTGTAAACCTTCATTTAATGAATGAAAGCTTTGTTTCTTATCAAAAAAAAAATGTCGTAATTATTTAGTTTTTTGGCGAAACTTATATTCTTGGTACATGCTGCATGGAAGTCAAATTTTGATGCTATAGTAAATTTTTAGCATTTTGTTAGTGATACTTGTCTTGATTTATGTGAAGTGGGTGTTAGTTGCACAGTAGAGTTTTGTGGTATGTTTTCTAAATTAGATTTAACTAAAATAAGGTGCCACTGTTGCTAACCATATATGGCGAATGTGTTGGCGTGGCATCTAAAGGTAGGGGAAAAGTGAAGGGTGCAATTCTCATTGTTGATGATCAAAGCAGGGGGGAAAAGCACCTACAATTATCATTCTCCATGTTCTATAAAATGCAACACATAGATTTATAAAGAATGATGGAATAGGAAGTCGTGGATTTAACCTTGCAAATTCCTGGTGGTTTCATTTCATATTCTTCTGTCTCGCTTTGTTAAATCATGTTTCCTTATACATTGATGCTCTGTTTCTCTGGTTATAATTTTGACAGCTGCTCAACCATTTTTACAACACCCTTCTACTACTGCAGTTCTAGTTATGACGATTTTTTATTTCATAAATTTGTGATAAGAGTGCTTTGTATTTTGGTGTGTATTCAATTATTGTATTCCCTGTTCCACAAGTTAACATCGGTATTATGCATATAGGCATTCTCATATCATTTGCTTGTGTAATTTTTATCTTGATCATTATAATTTCTCAGGATCAAGTTGAAGGGTTAGTGACCCACCAGGAAGCTTTGATTAATGTTACAGAGCAGGCTGCTCAAACTTGCATACAGAACCAGCTTCAGTCGAATGAGTTTCATACGTCATTGGATCTATCACCAACTTCTAATACAAAGTCGACTTTATCTGTCCAAAATTCAACTCCACGGAGATTGTCAACAGTAGCTAATGGTAATAGCATCTGCATTTCAGAGGTGGACATGCAGAGTTCTTCTGACTCTAAATCTGTTTCTGCTGCACCTATTGTGAAGACACATTCGCCTGATGGGTACAACTGGCGCAAGTATGGTCAGAAGCAGGTGAAGAGTCCTCAAGGTTCTCGAAGCTATTACAGATGCACAAACTCTGAATGTTTTGCTAAGAAGATTGAGTGCTGCGATCACTCTAACCATGTCATAGAGATCATTTATAAAAGTCAACACAGTCATGATCCTCCTCGGAAAATTAATAGCCCGAGGGAAAGTAGGCTTTCATTACCTGTTGTACCTGTTTTAGGGAATAATAATACAGCTCAGCCTATCAGAGCACTTAGTGATTCAGATCCATCCACTTCTTCAAAAGAACCAGTGCAAGAAATGCTGCCAACACATGAAACAAAACAAGAGGAGTCGAGAGTTTTTGATGGGGATGCTGAAATTAATGTCGAGGAGCATGTTGATGAACCTGAACCAAAACGAAGGTAAGTTGCCAATTAAAATGATCATTGCTTTTTGTTTTTCATGTGATGTCACCTTTCTTATGTTATTTGGCAGAGGTTGGAGTTGCACAATTTTTACTTATTTGTACTGTTTGGAAATTGGATTACCAGAATGAAGAAAAGCAGCTCAGTGGACTCAGGTCTTACGAAACCTGGAAAGAAACCTAAGTTTGTTGTGCATGCGGCTGGTGATGTGGGAATTTCTGGAGATGGCTATAGGTGGCGCAAATATGGACAAAAGATGGTGAAGGGGAATCCTCACCCCAGGTAAATTCCTATTTTTGTATTTTACCCTTGCAATTGGGATTATATCACTGGGATGCCATGTCTGATTTTATATACTTTGTAGTTAAATCATAAAAAACCAGGGTTTTGGTTAGTCATTTTTTCATACTGCCTTGCTTGGCTTATACTTTCTTTGTTTTGTTGTTGCTCTTTGTAGTTCTTTTATGCCATTGTCCAGTGATGCAATTCCTTAGTTTAAAAGTGATGCTATTGGTGAGTCTATATTGCAGCCACTGAATCTGGTATGTCATGATATGTCCAATCAAGATTAAAGTTCCGACACGAAAAGAATTATCAAGAACATGATATTTCAATAGCAACTCTTTTGACGGTGGACTAATGTCCAAAAGCTATTTGTTTTTTCATAGGTTTTTAGCATCTGTTTGGACACCGTGTAGGATCCTTTTCTCATTAAGGTCATGCTTTTTGTAGTCAGTTTGTAATGATATTTTAGCTTCACGGACATCGAGTTTAGGAGTATCTTTCTGCCTCACTTGGGATGTGAACAGATTCTCCCTCGGTGTCTCTGGATATTTCCTTGACCAGGCATTTTCACTTTGGTGTTGATAAAATTGGCCTGCATTCTTTTTTGTCCTGAACGTTCTCTTGTATGAAATTTCAGGAACTACTACAGATGCACTTCAGCTGGATGTCCTGTTCGAAAGCACATCGAGAGTGCCACAGATAGCACAACTGCTGTCATAATAACATACAAGGGAGTACATGATCATGACATGCCAGTGCCAAAGAAGCGGCATGGCCTACCAAGTGCCCCTCTTGTTGCTGCCGCTGCTCCTGCTTCCATGAACAATTTACAATTTAAGAAAACTGAATCATTAGAGAACCAAATATCTGCAACCAAATGGTCTGTGGGGACCGAAGGTGAATTAACAGGTGAAGCACTGGACATTGGAGGGGAGAGGACAATGGAATCAGCTCGGACTCTTTTGAGCATTGGATTCGAAATTAAGCCTTGCTGAAAGACCGACTTCTGTTCAAGAGAGTGAGGAGAGGAAAAAGAACCCGGGAAAAGGAGACAGGAGACAATGAAAATTGATGAATGGCTTCAATTTAAGGTGTCTCTCTCCATGTAAATTATTTCTGTTTACCGGTATGATTTTTTTTTTTTGCCTGGTGTGTTTCCTTGGCTTGTTTTAGCTATACCATTTGTCTCGTGAACAGTTTTGTATATAGTGGTAGATACTCTGTATTGGCTTCCAACAGATTGGCAGTAATGGAGTAGTATAGAATTCTTGCACCCCATCTGAATTGAGTCGAAGTAACCTAGACCTCTGAGGTGGTGTTCGGGTTGCTATCACTGAACAAAGTTGCGTGTGAACTGCTTGGGGGTAAGTTAAGTAAAATCTGTTTCGTCATTTTGCTCTGTGGCCGTATCCATTGTAATCTACAAATGGATTTGAGACATTGAAGTTGCTATGACTTTGATTTGCAGGTTTTTAAACAAAAGCTGGCCATCTTGCACACATATTAGGGCACTTATTAGGTTCCATCTGGTTGAAAGTGCAGTTGTGTGTCTATTCTGTCAAGTTAGGCATTGGATGGCAATTCAGGCTTGCGATGCATCCCTCCTGCAGTAGGGTTCCAGGTTTTTGACTTGGTATCATCGACTTTTGGTGTCGTGATGTCTCTTTGAGATCCCGTGAATCCATATGCAACGAACGCAGCAACCGTTACGTTTTCTCTAATTGTACATGGAGAGCGTCCGTCCGTATGTGCCTTGGTCAACATGATCACCAGCTAGCTAAATATTCTTCTCTTAACTCTACAATCTACAAATCTATGATGCATAGAATTTAACAGGACAAAAGCTTCTTCCTTCCCTTGTGCACCAGTTAATGATAGTATATTAGTAAATTTAGGAATCTAATAAAAATATATTCTTCCTTTCTTCAATCTCTATGGTCGAATACAGGAATAAAGGCACAGCCCATTTTACATATTTTTTATTTAAAGTTGAGTACAAGTTGATGGAAAACAAGATTGATCATAAACATTTTAGAGTTCTTTCTGAAGGTTTATATGAAGAGGTGATTCGAATAACGGAATGGAATAGATTTGGGTCCTTCTCATGCTCTTTGAACAAAAGCTGTGTGAGATGGTTCAAGGAAATGTTTACTACTGACGGACCATAGTTTGCATTGATGAGTTCAATTCTAACCAGGCCCGCCTCAATAAATCCACTAAGCTCAAGTCAATTAAAAGGTAGGTCAAGTTTAATTCCAAATTCACCTCAACCCAAATTTCAAGGAGTCCAAGAAGAATTAGAACACATAGGAAGCAATTATCTAGATGCTTAGGGGTGTTCACCTTATCCTACGGGTAAGAAATATAGTTTTTCGTTTTCTATCTGATATTTGCGGAAGAATTTTTTCTTGGTCTACCCTACTCGATCAGGTGTGGTATTCCTATCTGATTAATCGGATAGGAAATCGGGTAAACACTTTTGTAGTTATTAATTTTTGGATCATTTTAACAATTCAATTAAATAACATGCACCAATTTAAACAATACAATAAATCAATAGCACTAAAATTTAAAACAACTACAACAACAATTACAATAAAACATAAAAAAATATGAATATCAATCCATCATAATCGTTACACAAAAACAATAACAATTATTTTAAATTTAAACTATATGAAATACATTAAAATCATAATTGTTCGAATAGATTACCGGTTCACTACAAATCAAGTAACCTACACAAAAAACAAGTTTATTTTTTTGCAACTCAAACATTCATAACAATAACAATATATAAATTATACTACACAAATATTCTTATAATTACTAAAAAAAATATAAAAAAAATTAAATATATTTTTTACGAGTAGGATAGGATACAAATGTGAAAATTTATGGATATTCTGCATTCCTACCCGATTTAATCGAAAAACAAAAAACTCTTCTGCATTCCTACCCGATTTTTACAACTAGCCGCTTAGTAGAGTAGAGTAAGGTAGAAAATTGCGGCCAATCAAAAATTTAAACACATTTATAGATACTCCCTCTTGAAGATCAAGACAATCTTTTTTGACAATACTTTTATAGACACCCGAAAAATTAATACCTTTGCCCTTCAAGTCACCGCCTTAACCAATATCTTATGCCTATAAATTGTAAGTTCTCTTTGACATGAGAGGACACATTGAACTCTACATCTACACCTCTCTACACACACATAATTTCTCTCTCTCTCTCATAGCTATTGTATCTCTCTTGGAACTAATCATTGTTCTCTCCTCAGTTCACCTTATTTCATCAATAAAGACCCACCGGTCACCGTTGCTGTTTTTAAGAGTGGAGAATGTTGCCCGAACCGAACCATTATATATTTGTGTTACTCAATATTTACATGACTACCATTAATTGTTTTATTAACTGTCCATTAATTATATCTTACCACACATTCAACTATTGATTTTGTACAAGACTATTTTGTGTATCATCATGCATCAATTGAGAGGGCCTCACATCACATGGATATATCATGACAAGACCCATAATTTATTTTCTTAGGGCAACACAAAGTTGACACTTTCTATGACCAATCAATTGGAATCGAGCACAATTTTTGATATTTCAAAAGAAAGACACATCTCAAGAATATAGCAAACAATGAGCTCACCAGTAAGGAGCTCTGAATTTTCTTTATAAAGATGGGTGAAGACCTAAAGAGGGAGACCTTGGTATAAGAACTCTTAGCTCTACACGCACACACATTTATATTATTATTTTTAGTTTATACACTAGCCTATTCATGTATTGATAACAATACTAATTTAGGCATCGAAGAGGCCTCCCCGGCGCAAGCGAGGTCCCTCTAATCTACTTTTGATTTTAAAGCTCGTGGACTATAAGAAACTTGAAGACCAGAGATGCACTTTTAATATTTTAGTGATTGTCATATTTTTACCCATATAATTTGGTGTCGCCTTTGGGAAATAAAGTATGCACGCTCTGAAATCTTTGTATATGCAGTCCGTGAGTACTGCCCAGTATCGCTCTGAAATCTTTGTATATGCAGTCCGTGAGTACTGCCCAGTATCATTCGTACATCCCTATACCTTCAGATTTATTCAATTCATGGAGCCCAGGCTCAATTTTGTCTATTAATGGGTATACTCGTTCTTGTTCCACGTGCATTGGTGGCATACTGGTTGTTCAACTTTCCACATAAATATGTCAGCTACACATGGACTTCTTTAACAAATTGTATTAATTTTTGTCCTTTTCTGTAAAATGACATCCTGCCATTACGATAATTCCCTAAATTTCAAGGCCAAAAGTTTTCATTATTTCGAATAAGAGACAAACCAAGTTTGTCCTTTAGCGTGAGTCATAGAACTCGGTCGTCTCCAGCTTCTTCCGGAATATAAAAATCTTGTCGATGGTCAAGGCCTCTCTTTGGTTCAAGCTCCGAGCAAAAAATGTTCGGATGTCCGTAAGAAGTTGCTTGGTCATAATCGATGTATGCCGTTCATGGAGTTTGGCGTATCAATATTGACCGGACTCTAGGCGGTCCAGCAGCCCCAAATCGACACGTGTAAAAAAGTAATTGTTATGGAACCCAAAAAGCGTCGAAGAGTGGCGCCGAAGAATAATGGCTTAGAGGAGCCAAATACATGGACTGACATCAGCATTTAAGATGATTTGACAGTGTATTTATGACGGAGTGACTCAGACAGGGATATTAATGAGCCATTGAATCCTCAAAATCCAAACCTGCAGTCATGATTGCGAAACATTAATAGTTATTGCACCGAGCTTACCTTCTCGGCTCACCCCGAGACACTGTTTCCCAAGGATTTAACGCTCAGGAGTAGGTGTTAGACGCCGACCAAAGGAACTCGAATACTTGGGGATAGCCATGAGCGATTGGCATGGCCTCGAGCACTTTGTGCTATCACCTGTGCATTAAAGGCACGAAGATTTAAGTGGAAAATATTCATTGTGCATGAGTAAGAGTGCAGGACATTAAATGGTGAGATGAGACTTCAAACCTTTACACTCATTGTTAATCCAAGTATAAATATTTCTCAGGAAAATGAACAAAGGTATGCAAGACTAAATTGACAGAAAAGAATCACTGTGCCTCAACCTTCAAACTCATACTGACTTAAACTTCGAAGATGACAAGCTGGGTGCTCACCTGGCTCCTTTTATGACCTTATGGTTATTTCAGGTTCATCATCAAGAGGATTGCTATCTCAATCTGTTGTAGGACATCTCCCGTATAATTTGGCGCCGTCTGTGAGAAACTATGAACTTTTCCCTGTAGCAATTGCATCATGGTGAACACATGATCCTAAGGCGATGGGGGAGGGAGTTTACGCGTGAGAAATGCAGAAGCTACCTGGTTCCCAGCAATCATGGAGTTGGACCCCTTGAGCCAGTTAGATGGAGGCGAGCATGCCTCGCAGCTAACGTTTCCCGTTAATCAAGACCTTGGGGGGCAAGGCCTCTTGGCTCGTGAGATCGTTGAGTTGGTGGAAAAATGAATGGGGAAGCGCATTAAGCAACTTGAGAAGGATAACATCTAGATGCAACATTGACTCGATGGTTTCGAGCAGTCGGGGACTGCTATTTGGCGAAGTAGTAAGCATAAAGACTGAAGTTTCAGTCAAGCCAACTCCATGGGCGTGAAGCCAAGTGCCCTCGAGAGGAGCTTGCGCAGGCGCATGGCCGAGAGGCGCGACCCAAGAAGTTGGAGAAAGCTCCCCCTGAGGAGGGATCGGAATTGGATCACCACAAGGCGAGCCTGTCCCGATGGGATCTCCACCATGAACTGCCTGGAGGTGCCATGGTTGCCGAATCCCATACAAAGTCCACTGCGAGGAGGCCTAGAGAAGAGCAAACCTAAGGGGACCTTCGAGCGCATCTAGATGCTTAGCGCTAGAGACCCAGACCAGAGGGAGATGAAGACGAAGAGCAGATCATTTCCTCGTTTGTACGGGCGATTCGGGAGACCGAGATGCTGAAAAAATTTATAGTTTCTTGATTCAAGGTTTATGATGGGAGGACGGATCCTGAGAGCCACATGTAGCAATACAAGTAGTTGATGTCCATTTATGACACTAACAAAAGGCTTCTATGCCGAGTTTTTTCCATGAGTCTGGGGGACAATGTGATGAAATGGTATGAGAACTTGGCCCTAGAGAGCATCAAGTTTTGGAAGCAAATGACCGAGCTCTTCACTGCTCGATTCCTTACCAACAGTAAAAGGCCGAAATTCATCAGCGCGTTGCTAACGCTCAAACGGAGGGGTGGACAGTCCCTTCGGCAGTACGCAGTCAGATACTGGAAAAAAGTCAATAAAGTCGAGG